GAAAGGAGTGCTCTCATTGGCCAGTCACCTCTGGAGCACTGATGGAGAATGATAGCCTCGCCTAAAGCAGATGAATGGGCACTAGGGAATGGTGTCTTTCACAGAATGAAATGAGTGTACTGTTAACCAAAAGAAGTGGGGTTGGGGGGGGGATGCTTGGCAGTTCATAGTTCTGGATATTTTTATGGAAAATAGATTTCTATCCACATTTTATTAGCTTATATTTCTATGTTTCCATCTCTTTCATTGTTAGATGTCACTCATGTTGCGCCTAGTTTCCCTTTATAACAGCAGTACCTTTCTACATTTTAATATATAGCATCTTATCTTCTGAGATAGAACTACCCCTGTGGGTTTCTGAAACTATAATTGTTTATGGGAGAGAAAGCCTCATCTTTCTCCCATGGATCGACTGATGGTTTCAAACATCTGACCTTGCAATTAGCAGTCCAACACATAACCACTAGGCCAGCAGCAGTCAAGAGATCAAAGGACACATTGCACTGGGTACATCTGCTGCATGAGACCAGTTTAAAGTGTTAAAACACAAGGATGTTATTTTGAGGACTAAGGTGTGCCTGGCTCAGGCCATGATATTTTTGATTGCTTCATATTACATGTGAAGGTTGGACATTGAATAAGGAAGCCCAAAGAAGAATTGATGCATTTGAACTGTGGTGCTTGAGTATTGACAGAATTATGTACTGCCAAAAGAGCAAACAAATCTGTCTTGGAAGAAGTACAGCCAGAATGGTCCTTAGAAGCAAGCACAGTAGTGAGACTTCAGTTCATGTACTTTGAATAACTTATCAGGAGATACTAGTCCAAGAAAAAGGACTTCATAACTGGAAAAGGGGAGGGACAGTGAAAGAGAGCAGGCCCTTGACTTGATGGGATGACATAGTGCGAGACAATTGGCTCCAACAGGACAATAATCGGGAGGATGGTGCAGGGCCGGGCAGGGTTTCATGCAGCTGGACAGAGGGTTGCTATGAGTCAGAACCAATTCAAGGACACCTAACAACAACATCTGAGGACTGCTTTACTAAGCATGCTGTCCTTCTCCAAGGACTGACATCTCATACCATATCCAAAGTAGGTGTGAGGAGAAGGTTCAAAGGAGAATGATGGCAGTGCTTCTTCCAAGACAGACTCACTTGTTCTTTTCCAGTATTTTTCTCCAGCACCACAATTCCAGCGCATCGATGCTTCTTTGGTCTTCTTTATTCAATGTCCAACCTTAACATAGCACGGAGGCCGTGGAAAACACTGTGACTTGGGCCGGGCACACCTTAACCCCCAAAGTAACCTACGGTACTTAGTTTTCAATACTTTAAAGAGGTCTTGTGTACCAGATTTACCCAATGCAACGCATCTTTTGATCTCCTGACTGCTGCTCCCCTGAGCATTGGCTGTGGATCCAAGCAAATAAAAATCCTTGACAGCTTCAACCTTTTCTCCATTTATCAAGATGTTACCTATTGGTCCAGCTGTGAGAATGTTGGCCTTCTTTATGTTAAATGGTAATCCACATTGAAAGCTGCAGTTCTTGGTCTTCAGCAGCAAGTGCTTCAATTCCTTCTCTTTCAGCAAACAAGGTTGTGTCCTCTGAGTATCGAAGGTTATTAATAAGCCTTCCTCCAATTCTGATGCCGAGTTCTTCATATAATCCAGCCTCTATGATTGTTTGCTCAAGAATAAGATTAATAAAATAAATTATCCAAGTCTCCTTTCAGCCAAAAGTTTTTGTACTAAAAACAATAGTTTGCCCTTGCTGATTATTTTAAAGCATTTGTTCCCCTAACTAAATAGCAGAATTGCTGATTTTTGAGAATTCTTTTTTTTTTAAAGAATTTTATTAGGGGTTCATACAACTCTTATCACAATCCATACATACATCAATTGTGTAAAGCACATTTGTACATTCATTGTCTTGAGAATTCTTAGAGATGATCTCAAACTTTTTAAGCAATTCTAAAGAAAAGGTGAAAATATGAGAGTGTCTCATATGACACTCTCCTTTAAAAAAAATCATTTTATTGGGGGCTCACACAACTCTTATCACAATCCATACATACGTCCTTTGTGTAAAGCACATTTGTACATTCATTGTCTTGAGAATTCTTAGAGATGAACTCAAACTTTTTAAGCAATTCTAAAGAAAAGGTGAAAATATGAAGAGTGTCTCATATGACACTCTCCTTTTTTTAAAAAATGATTTTATTGGGGGCTCACACAACTCTTATCACAAGCCATACATACGTCCATTGTGTCAAGCACATTTGTACATTTATTGCCATCATCATTCCCAAAACATTCTCCTTCGACTTGAGCCCTTGGTGTCAGCTCCTCATTGTGTTCCTTCCCTCTCCCACCCTCCCTCCTTCATGAGCCCTTGATAATTTATACATTTTTTTTCATGACATGAAAAAATACTCTCTTAATGAAGTATGGCATCCGTCTAATCAAGAACTCGGCCTGGCAGCTAATAACAATGAGTACAGGAATGAAGAAAATATTCTACAGCTAATTTTAGTGATGATTGTACAGATCATCTTGATGTGATTGAACTATTGAATTGTGCAATAAGTGAATTATATGGCATTAAACTTTTAAAAATAAAAGTTGGCCTTAAAAGAAAGAAATTAAAAGACTAATAAAAGAAAATCAATAGGATTAAGTAGCATATTCTTTAAGATCGAGGAGAACGCGCTCTGCATGGTAGAAAAGCAAAAAAAAATAGTTCTTAGAGATTTATGATAATTGAAGAGAAAGAACATGAATTTCTAACAATAATCAACACTATTGAACACCCATCATATACATAATGGGGACCAAGTTGTCCCTGTTTTATGGATAAGGAATTAGTCATCCAGAGGCTAAGTATATAATGGAACTGAACTTCAGACTCAGGCTGGCCAACGCCAGAGCCTGTGGACCCTATCAGTTACCATAGCCTTAGGGACCACTCTCTACACAGGGTGAAGGCCAAGGGCTGTAGTTTGGGATATTAGATCTTCCTACCTGATCTTTAGAACTTAACTGTGTCAATGAGTGAGGAATGGGTGTATGAGCCAGTCAAATGTGTGTTCAATTAAATGTTTCTTTCACTAATATAATTTTGCCTTTGATTACACCAAAGATTATAATTTATACCTTTTCTAATATTCATTGCACATGTTTCAGAAACAAATTTTATTACTTGTAAAAGAAAACTTGACTACTAGTAGTTTAAGCAATTACTTTGATACAGCAACACAAGGATATCAAGACTCTACCTTATTTATCTACTATCCTGAGAGCGGGGCATTTATTCTTAGGATTGAATGATGGATTCGTTACCTCCAAGTATTGTATAAGGATAGAGAGCAAAGAGTACAAAATTATCATCCTTTGATAAAAGCCTACCCCTTCAGGGATGCTTAACACTAAAGAGAGGAAAAAAAACGAGAACTATAAGATCATCCTTAACAGTAAACAGAGTTGGTAATGCTGAGTACTGGATGGAAATCAGGAGTGAAAATTGAATTTCTGTGAAACTCATGGAAAAGCTAAATCCACTGAGGGAGATCTATGCATTCATTTAGGTCAGACATCCATATTAGCAAAACTGAAACCAAGACGGTTTGCTTCTTAGCATCCTTAAAACTTATTAAATATTGGAGCGTGAAGGGAGGGGAAAAAACTTATTCAATATTTTCTTTTAAAAGCGGAGACTAGTTCTGATGTAAGTAGAATGTGGAGTGCCAACTCGACTGCTTTGTCTTCACCCAAGGGGGAAATATATGATCTCCTGAGGTTTTGCCTTTGATTCATCATGAAAGCCCTCTCCAATGATTCCACTTATATCTCATTGGTCAGATCTGACACATGGGCATCTCTAGCTGCAAAAGTGGTTGCCCTGCCAGCACAACCCCCACCCCCAAGAAACAATTCCGTATCATCCAGTGAATTCTGGCTCACTATAACTCTATAGAACAGAGTAGAACAGCCCTTATGGATTTTCAAGGCTGTAAATCTTTAAAGGAGCAGAAAAAGCCTCATTGTTCTCCTGAGGAGCAAGCTGGTGATTTGGAACTGCTGTCCTTACGGTTAGCAGCCCAACTTGTGGCCCATTACACCACCAGCATTCCTTATGGAAGTATTTGGTTTTCAGGTCCTCAACCTTCCTAATGCCACGATCCTCATGTTGTGGTGAGCCCCCAACCATAAAATTATTTTCATTGCTACTTCATAACTGTCATTTTGCCACTGTTATGAATCGGGCGGCCCCTGTGAAAGGGTCATTCTACCCCCAAAGGGGTCGCGAACCCCAGGTTGAGAACCACTGCTGTAGAGGTTAAAGTGGCTATTGATTGAGCCAATCTGTAGATTTACCTTACAGGTTTTCTGATTATTTGGTATAAGTTCATCTTTTCTGGAATATTATAAGCCCATAGAAGACAAAGGATATCTTTGGTGTCTTGAATTACTTTCATTGCCTGGCAAAGTGACTACCGGAGCCCTTAGCAGATAGCTAAGACTTTGTAGCTACTAAACCAATGTTTATTCTTTAATTTTTAAAAAAAATATGGAAATAAGAACCTGACAAAATTTAGTGACAGGTTTCCCTGAAAGGTATGTACTCTGTAGGTTTACTTTTGGTGACTCATTCCTCATGTCAACATTTGAAAAGTACCCAGAGCTTTCCTGCTTCGTTAAGGTGGGTCATTAGAGAGGATAATTTAGCAGTTCTATTCCTTGGAGCATTTGGGAATTGTAGAAGAAAATGGTTCTCAGCAAGACCATGTTCAAGAGAGGGTAGACGATAGATGGGAATGAAGTTAATGTTTTAGAATCAGAGAAAAGACTGGCAATTAGGAGTTATAGTAGTCTGACACAATTTTTTTCTAAGGGAAAAATTAGTAGAGATTATTTAGTTACAAAGATTTTCAAATTGTTAATTTTTATTGTTTCTATCAAAACAGATCTTGTTCATTTCCTTTCATATTTTCAAAAAATTATAAACCATGGGGATTGAAGATAAAGCAAGTGAACGTGAAGATTCAGAACCATCCAGAGAAGTGGATCACACTGTTTCCACATGTGGAGAAACACAGGTAAGTCTCATCCACTGTAGAACAGCCTGGTCATTTCTTTAAGGAAGAGGCTATTTCAGTTAATTGTTGCATGGTGTTCCCTTCATTCTTTATGGTTCAACTAAGAATACGTCCCCATTCTTACTCCCCAAACTCATAACCGTCCAGGGCAGGGATGACTAGCTGGGAAATGGGGAGCCTCTAAAAATCCTTGTCTTCCCGGTCTAAACCCTAGAATGATGTTCACTTCTTCCCTTTCTCCTCTGTTGTTTAACTTGCAATTGATAAACGAAGGTATGAATGCTAATGATTTTTACTACAGTTATCTTTTGATGAACAAATTTAGTATATTTACTGCCTGTTGCCTTGTATCCCATCTTAAATGTGCTGACTTTTAAACCCAGCATAAGGACATTTCATGTGACTCCAGCATTTGTGATACCACAAGGAGTGACTAGACATTTATAACATGGTTCTTGTTTGAAGCATCAACTGATTCGCTAATAATAAAACTGTATTCAACTTTAAAGTGTTAATCTTGATACGAGCAATGGAAATTTGATTTGTGATATTATGACTCAGGACCTGTAGAAATGTATAGCAAATATACAGTTTTAAGATTGCCTGTTGCTTCCTCAGACACAAGAGGAGACAGGCGTGAATCTCAGGAGTACAGATGTAAATGAACCAACAGAAGGAAGCAACCTGCTAGACAGCCATGAAAAAAAGCCACAAGAAACACCAACTGAATCCAGTCGTTTGCAGAGACTGAGGCGGACGTTCGCTTGCCCTCCACATGGATTACTGGGTAGAATAGTAACAAATGGTATGTAAGCAATACAGATGAATTGAGGAGGATTAAAAGATTAAATCATCATAATGTCAGAATAAAATATGTTTTTAAAGTGCTACATAAGCAATTCAATGGAACCCTGGTGGTGTAGTGGTTATGTATTGGGCTGTTAACCTCAAGGCCAGCTGTTCAAAACCACTCCGAGGTAGAAAGACAAAGTTTTCTACTCCTGTAAAGAGTTCTAATCGTGGCAACCTAGTGTGGCACTTCCACTCTATCCTACAGGAACACTGAGTTGGAATCAACTCGATGGCAGTGGATGGGAGCGAGACATGAGCAATTCACACTGCTAGGTGGCTCTGAGTCACATGGTCATTCAGGGACCCATACTGGCAAGGCTCTGTGTCCTCTTCAACAAGAGATTCCAAGATTTCTTTATCACCACCATGTGAGCCATCAGGAAGGGGAAAAGAGCAGAAAGCAATCGGTTTTCTTTTGCTTCACCTGGGAAAGAAAGTCATGGGATTCCATGAGAGAAAGATGATTGTTAAGGCATTTGCTCGCAGACACGCTACAGCCATGTTGGCTGTTAGTAAGTAATACAGCTAATATTTGAGTAAACATCAATGTGTTCTTCTAAATGAGCCCTGTCTGTTGTGAGTCAATATCTTGATTTGCAGTTCAACTGAGTCCATTAGAGCTGCCATTAGTTAAGACAGTTGTTGGATTTTTTCCTTTGAGAATTTATTTCAGTGTTATTTGTACATTGTTAGAGTTTGATTTGGTCTTTCAGTGCCTCCACAGGTCAATCCAATGACAGTGTGGTGGGTAAAATGTCTGTGCAGGTTCAGTTATGCATTTTCTTTGCTAAAATAAAAAGTGTACCTGCATGTGTATGATATAGTAAAGAAGAAGGTTTTCAAAAATGTAAAACCAATTTCAAGATGATATTATGACATGACAGTCACTGGAATTAGTGGGTGCCTGCTAAGGGACGTATGTTGAAGAATGTAACACACTTGACAGGAGTTAATTAGGGTTACTGAAAAATCAGACTTGTTTCTTTTTAGTTACGTTTGATTTATTGGTTCTGAGAGATATTTTTACCATTTACAACTGGGACTCTGGAAAAACCAAGTACAGTACGATGTGCTGTTTTTTAGGTTCTAAATATGTTTTCAATGAAATTAAGTAGGGTTTCAAACTAACATAAGGGGGAAAAGAATCTCAAATGTTAATTGGAACACAGTAAAAGCTAAGTTCCCAAACACACACTAGCTAATAAAGCAATAGTCGATTTAATGTCTTCTCTGTCCTTGTTACCATTTTAAAAACTTTCACCATTCAAGTCATGCCATGTTTCTAGGTAAAACAATGACAACAAAACAAATAAGAACTGATGTAAGTCCAGGATGAAAATGAACTGTATGACTAGGGAACTCAGATTGTTAGAACGATTCTGTAATCGCGGTGCAGGAGGCTACCTGAAACGTGAGCCTGGTGTGTGTCAGCATCTCTTCACTTGTTCTCCTGTACTCCTGTTCTTCATGCTCACGGTGGTGCTCTGGCCTTACTGAACGGCTCCTCCTTGGGCCATTCACTGTGTACCAAGTCTTCTTCTTTTTTTCAAATCATTTTATGGGGGTTCATATACCTCTTATCACAATCCATACATACACGAATTGTGTAAAGCACATTTGTACATTCATTGCCCTCATCATTCTCAAAACATTTCCTCTCCACTTAAGCCCTTGGCATCAGCTCCTCATTTTTTCCCCCTCCCTCCCGTTCCCCCCTCCCTCATGAACCCTTGAGAATTAATAAATTATTATTTTGTCATATCTTACACTGTCCGATGTTTCCCTTCACCCATTTTTCTGTTGTCCATCCCCCAGGGAGGAGGTTATATATAGATCCTTGTCATCGGTTCCCCCTCTCTACCGCATCCTCCCTCCACAAGTATTCTTCTTATGAAGGAAATCTCACATGTGAAAATATGATTTTCCAAAATTATAAATGAGCAGTAAATTATTAACTGAATTAAAATCAATTTAGAAGAAATACATATGTGTGTATGTATATATATATTTCTATATATTTAGACTTATGCAGTGTTTTACAGTTCACAAAGAGCTCTCTACAACTTACCTTTAGTAAGCCCTATGCATGTATAGGGAGCCCTGGTGCGGTAGTGGCTACATGATAGGCTGCTAACCTTAAGGTCAGCAGTTGAAAACCAGAAGCTGCTGCGTGGGAGAAAGACGAGGCTTTCTGCTCCTGTAAAGAGATTCAGTCTCAGAAACCCACAGAGGTAGTTCTACTCTGTCCTATAGGGGCACTGTGAGTGGGTATCAAATCGATGGCAGTGAGTTTTTTATGCATATTCATAGAGGTGTCCTGGTGGTCTAGTAGGTTAGGTGCTGGGTTGCTAACCCTAAGGCCAGAGTTCAAAACTACCAGTTGCTCTGGAGGAGAAAAACGAGGCTTTCTACTCCTATAAAGTGTTACAGTCTTGGAAACCCACAGGGGCAGTTCTACCCTGTCCCATAGGATCGCTATGAATCAGCATTAACTCAGTGACAGGGAGTTTGAGTTGAAGTGCATGTATATAAATCTATAATTTATGGAAAAATAGCTTACAAACAAAAGTAGAGAAACAAATTTTTTGCCTCTGGAAAATGGGGTGTGATTTTATTGTTCCTTCTGCTTTCTATACTTTTCAGTATAGAATTTTAAAAATAATTTCTATAATGTTAGAAATGTTTTCATAAATTTTATTTCTTGATTTTAAAAATCTCAGTTATCTTATATATTTAATATTATTATCTATTGTGACATGTGTGCTGCCCAATAAAAATTTATATAATTCAAATTTTGATAAACAATAAAAGTTTTTATTATTAAAATATTTAATAATATAATATGCATATATTAATCTTAGAATTGGTGAACAACCATTCTTAAGACTATATTGGTGGAGGGAGGATGGGGTAGAAAGAGGGAACCGATTACAGGAATCTACATATAACCTCCTCCCTGGGGGATGGACAACAGAAAAGAGGGTGAAGGGAGACGTCAGACAGGGCAAGATATGACAAAATAATAATGTATTAATTATCAAGGGTTCATGAAGGGGAGGAGCAGGGAGGGAGAGGAAAAAATGAGGAGCTGATGCCAAGGGATTAGGTGGAGAGCAAATGTTTTGAGAATGATGAGGGCAATGAATGTACAAATGTGCTTTACACAATTGATGTATGTATGGATTGTGGTAAGAGTTGTATGAGCCCCCAATAAAATGATGTTTTAAAAAAGACCATATTGATTGAAGAGCAATAAACTAGACACTAGAGAAGAAAAATTGAAACCTATGAAGCAGTTCTACACTGTCCTGCAAAGTAGCTATGAATCAAACAGCGATGGGGTTGGTTAAAGGCATGAAATTAAAATGTCATATAGTCAGACCTATATCGTGAGTCTGAAAGAATTTATTTTTGAAAGGGACAAGAATGTTTTCATACAATTTTCTTAAATGTTGGTAATTTTTGTAACTACTAGTGTGCTATGATTTATTTATTCAAGAAAATAATATTTATTGAATAAATATTTATTATCATTTACATAGTATGAATATATGATTTTATTATATTTATAATTTTATTGAGATAATATTTATTGAATAAAATAATATTTATTCACGAAAATAATGTTTAAACAATACCTATGATAATGTATTGATTAAAAACTGGCTTTCTGAGCTTATTTCAGTTACCATGGTGGTCCTTCTGTGGGCTGTGGGCTGGTCCATTACTGGCAGTGAATGTCTACCTAGAGGGAACCTATTTGGAATCATGATCCTGTTCTACTGTGCTGTCCTCGGTGGTAAACTGATGGGACTGATTACGTTCCCTACGTTACCTCCACTGCCTCCTCTTCTTGGTAAGTGTTAAACACTAATTATTTTCTTGAGAATAAGTCATATTTTTTTAAATAGTAATTTGGAATGTTTCTTAAATGAATGGTCACCATCCTTTCCTCTAAGGAGCACTCTGGCCGTATTTCTTTCAGCAGATTTTTTTTGTCTTTTAGCAGTTTGTGGTATGTTCCATATTCTTCTGCAGCACCAAAATTCAAATTCATCCATTCTTTGTTGGTCTTTCTTATTCAATGTCCAACTTTCACAGGCGTATGAAGCAATTGAAAATACAACGGCTTGGATCAGAAGCATCTTAGTCCTTGAAGTAGCATCCTTGCTCTTCAACATTCTAAAGTAGTCATGTGCAGTAATACCAGGCTTCCTTTGCTCACTTAACTGCTGTTTCCATGAGTATTAATTGTGGATCCATGCAAGACAAAATCCTTGACAACTTCAGCCTTTTCTTCATTGATCATGATGCTACCTACTGGTCCAGTGTGAGGCTCTTGGTCTCCTTTACATGGACTTGTAATCCTTACTAAAGGCTCTAACTCTTGATCTTCATCGGCAAGTGCTGTTTTCTAATGTGTTAAAGAAGTTACTCACTTTACAGACAAAGGAGTGATGTTCTGGCATGTATCTTATTGCTTCATTTCCATCTTATTCAGTCACGTAACCAAAACTATCAGCTAACATTCATTGCAAACCTGTGCTAGACTATCAAGGAAAAGTCCTTTTATACTAACTTGTGTGAGGAACAATGAGAAGAAATGATGAAGTAAGTCTAAGAGTTGTGTGGGACACCTTAAAGAAAGGTAATTTAAATGTAATAGGAATTCCAGAAGAGAAGGGGAAATTATCAAGACAAGGGCAACCCTATCTCCTCTCAGGTTATTGTAAAGCAAGTCATTACTGAAAAACAAAGAAACAAACCGGAGTTTGTACTGTACATTTTCAGAGCCTTAAATCCACTGATTATATCCCGATCGTGGTGGTTAGCCTGTTCCTCTATTCCTTTTATGTAAATTCATTGCTAGAAGTGGAGGCTTGACCACAAGGTTTATCTTTGTATGCTCCTCAAAACCAAAATATATTCGAGTATTACCTATTTTTTTCAAGATTAGTTCATAGTGATTTGTGGTTACACAATGTCTGATCATCCTTTGTATGTCTTGTCTTAGCAGCTGTTGTTGATTAGCAGTAATTCCTATGGTATTGCAGCTACGGTGCAATGGATTTCCTTTATGTGGCTTTTATGGCCCTGGTTTGCAATTCTTCCAAATTGTTGGTCATGCTGCCCGGTGCCAAGTGATTGGTCTGTCTGATATTCATCTTAGTGGCTTACAAGTATTGATCAGCTTGCTATCTGTCTGTGCAGCTTGTAAGAATTGGTCAGGTTACTATCTCCATAAGTGGAGTGCAGAAATTGGGTAGGCTTGCATCCACCCAATGAATTAGTAAGTTTAGCATCTTGCTAGGAAAGCCACACTTTGAAATTAATAAGGAGTCTCTCTATCTGTATAAATGCACAGTGTCATATAGTTTGAATCCCACAGCCAACCCACAGGAGGAAAATGAGCCTTTCTATTCCTTTAAACAGACTCAGAACCCCACAGGGACAATTCCACCCTGAGGGGCCACTATTCATCAAAATGAGCTTGATGGCAGTGAATTTTAATTCTGATCAATAAGCTCCTGAAGAGGAGCACATCTATTGACCCAAGGTCTCTGTGCTGAGAACCTCCTAGACACAAATAAAAGCACTATAATAACGGTCAAGGGCTGTGATACTAACCTGATAACACTGAAGACCAAGTGAAATGGTGACTTGGACAGCAGAGCTGAGAAGCAGAGCAATGACGGCAGGAACCATGAGAGCAGTAGACACAGTGTCTCAAACATTGAAGGCATGTGCTAAATATTAAATTGATGAAAAAGAGAAGAGTCGTCAGCTGACCTGAGAGAGCAATGATGTCCATTCCAACATAATTCACCAAAGCCTTTGCTTAGAAGCAAAGTACATTAATTACTTTTAAATTTAGTTATATGACTGGAAGGTAAATGGAACCTATGAAAATACTTGTTGAATGGATGTATGTGTGGATTGTGATAAGAGCTGTACAAGCCCCCAATAAAATGATTTTTTTTAAAGAATTAGATGTCTTAATATTTGTAAAAATAAGCCAAGTGCTGGAAAAAGAAAAGAGAAAATATTTGTTGATACTTCAGATAGCCTACCATAGCTGGTGATTTCAGGGACAGTTGCTGTTTGTAAGCAAAGGAATGTTTGAAATGAATATTGTAATAACGCATTCTATATTTAATCGTAATCCTTTTCCAAATGCTTTCTTCTATTCTCATATTTTAGATTGTTATTTTGAGAATTGTAACTATCCTAATTTATCTTTTAATCTATACAGCCTCACTTATGTAACTATTTTAATTTCTTAAATTAATAGCTTAACTTAATGTGACCCAACAACTGAACACAAGTGAAGTGGTTCCTAAGGTTATATAGCTGTCTCTCTCACTTCCAATATGCCGAGAAGTATTTTGTGTACTTTGAAACTAACTAGAGTTGTTTGACTCCTCCATTCAAGGCATGCTGCTCGCTGGATTTCTCATCAGAAATATCGCAGTCATCAGTGATAATGTGCAGATCAAACACAAGTGGTCTTCCTCTTTGAGAAGCATAGCCCTGTCCATCATATTGGTCCGTGCTGGCCTTGGACTGGATTCTAAGGTATGAGGTGGGGATTTCCAATTACTGAATTGGCATTTTGAGCCTCCAATACTGCAATCCTCTAGTATTTAGAACCACTGAGCTTAGTGAAATGGATGTGCATACTTTCCATGACAAGTTCAAGAAGGGAATCGCATTTATTTCATACCAGTCTGTTGTGTAGGGTAGCTAGGGCTCCTCTGCTTCACAGGATTTCAGAATATGCCCTCAGAATTGCTTAGAGAAAGGGGAAGTGGGGACAGCACCAAGAAGAAAAACTCCTCTTTTCTCTCTGCCAGAGATTCAGCCATACTTACACATTGTGGTCAGCGAGGGAGACGAGATCTTACTTTTGGCGTGCAAGCCCCTTTGTGTGTGCTCGGGGCCACTACACTAGCTCAGGAAACCTCCTAGTGTTTTCACTGATATGTTTGTTTGAAATGAGCTTGTGTGTCACAAAAGATTGCAAGCAGCAGTGAACTTATCTCTTGTTTTAGAACCCTTAAATGTGTTCCTATTTTGTTCTTTGATAATCTTTATGGCTCTAGGGTGTATACTTAGGTCTTTAATCCATCTTGAGTTAGTTTTTGAACATGGTGAGAAGTATGGGTCTTGTTTCATTCTTTTGCCAGCAGAGATCCAATTTTTCCAACATTGTTTACTGAGAAAGCGATCTCTTCCCTACTTAATGTACTTTAGTCCTTCATCAAAAATCAGATATACAGGGTGCTTGGCTGTATTTCTGCTCTCTCTGTTCCAATCCTTTGGTCCACATGTTGGTCATTGTATCAATACCAAACTTCTTTGATTACCATGAGTGTATTATAGGTTTTGAAAACTGGATGTTAAAGGTTTTCTATTTTGCTTTTGTTTTTTAATGGTGTATTGTTTATATTGGATTTCTTTCCTTTCCATACAAGTTGGTGATTAGTTTTTCTATTTCTTTGATTAATTGTGCTGGAATTTGGGTTGGAATTGCATTTATGGAGTGCTTTTGGTAATACTGACATTTTCACTATATTAAGTCTTCTGATCCATGAGCATAGGACATTCTTACATTTGTGTAAGTCTCTTGAGTGTTCTATAGTTTTTTAATAAGTCTTTTGCTTCTCTGGTAAGATTTATTTATAAATATTTTATCTTTGGGGTGTTGTTAGGTGCCTCTGAGTCAGTTCGTCCTTACAGGGACCCTATACAGGACAGAAGAAAGCATTGCCCTGTTCTGCTCTGTCTTCACAATTGTTATTACACGTGAGCCTATTGTGGTAGCCATCTGGTTGAGGGCCTTCCTCTTTTTCACTTTCCCTCCACGTTACCAAGTCTGATGTCCTTTTCCAGGGACTGGTCTCTCCTAACAATATGTCTACCATATTTCAGACAAAGCCGTGCCATCCTTGATTCTAAGGACCATTCTGGCCAAATCAGTTTGTGCTTTCAGTATTCTTTGCCAGCACCACAATTCAAATGCATAGATTATTCTTTGGTCTTCTTATTCAATGTCCAAATTTCACACGCATATGAGGCCATATAAAACATCGTGACTTGGGTCCAGTGCGCCTTAGTCCTCAAAATAACATCCTTACCTTTCAGTACTCTAGCAAGGTCTTGTGCACCAGATTTATCTCATGCAAGGTATCTTTTGATCACTTGACTGTTGCTTCCATGAGAATTGATTGTGGACCCAGGCAATAAAAAATTCTTGATAACTTCAACCTTTTCTCCATTTATCATGTTACCTATTGGTCCAGTTGCGAGGTTTTGGTCTCCTTTACATTGAATAATCTGTACTGAAGGCTTCAATCCTTGATCTTGATCAGCAAGGACTTTAAGTCCTCACTTTTAGAAAGCAAGATTGTATCATCTACATATTTCAGGTTAGTAATAAGCCTTCCTCCAATCCTGATGCCACATTCTTCTTCATACAAATCAGCTTCTCTGATTATTTGCTTAGCACATAGATTGAATAATTATGGCGAAAGATCCAACCCTAACACACACCTTTCCTGATTTTAAACCATGCAGTACTTCCTTGTTCTATCATGAAGTTTTCAGTGGCTATTTCTTCCACAGTGGGCAGCTGATTCCTTCTCCTTTGAGGTAGTTATTGTAAATGGTATTGTTCTTTTATTTTCCTTTTCGGTGTCATTTAACATACAAAACCCCAACTGATTTTTGTATGTTGATCTCATACCTTGCTATGTTACCATATTTTTCAATTAGTTCCAGCAATACTTTTATTTAGGTTTTGGAGTTTTCTTTATATGAGATTATCTTCTGAAAATAAAGAGGGTTTTGGTTCTTCTGTGTGTCAATATGTATGCCTTTAGTATCCTTGTTATGTCATATCTCTGGTTAAGACTTCTGAAATTCTATTAAATAAGGGTGGTGATAAAGGATAAGACTGTCTAGTTTCCATTCAGAGGGGGTCTGTTTTTACTTTACTAAGTCAGATGCTAGTGATTGGTTTCAAACATATACCTTTATTATAGTGAGGAATTTCCCTTCTATTCCTATTTTATTAAGTGTGGTTTTTAAAATCAAGAATGGATGTTGATTCTAGGCAATGCTTTTTCTGCATAAATTGATATAATCATATATCTTTGCTTTGTTTATATGGTGGGTACATTGATTGTTTTTCTAATATTAACCCATCCTTGCACACCTGGTATGAATCCCATTCGATCATGATGGTTTTGTTGCTGCTGTTTTGATGATTAGTAGAATGCTTTTGGATAGAAATTTGTTGAAAATCTTGTTGTCTACATTCATCAGCGATATCGGTCTACGTTTTCAATTCTGGTGATATTTTTGCCTGGTTTAGGTATTAGGGTTATACCTGCTTCATAAAATGATTTAGTAGTATATTATCCCTTTCTGTATTCTGAAAGAGTCCAAGTTGGCTTAGTGGGAACTCTTCTCTAAATGTTTGGTAGAATTTTCTGTTAAGTCATCTGGTCTTAGACCTTTTGATGTTGGGAGTTTTTTAATGATCAGATTTACTTTTTCTTGTGTTATTGACCTGATGAGATTTTTTTACGTCCCCCTGTGTTAATTTAGGTAGGCAGTGTGTTTCTAGAAATCTATCCATTTCTTCTGGATTTGCAGATTTTTTGTAATACATTTTTTTCACAATAATGTATGATTATCTTTTTATTTAGTTTGGTTCTGTTGTGATGCCACCTGTTTAATTTCTTATTTGTAATATTTGCTTTTTCTTCTTTGTTAGGTTTGTCAGTAGTTTTCCAATTTTGTTAATTCTTCAAAGAACCAACTTCTTGTCTTGTTGATTTTGGGCCTAGTTTTGCCATCTGTTTTCTAAAACATATGGTTGGTGGTGGTCGTGGTGTTAACTGCCATCAAATCGGTTCCACCAGCCTGGTCTTGCTCCACCCTCACATTTGCTGCTATGTTCGACCCCATCATGCAGCTACTGTGTAAATCCATGTTGTCAAGGGTCTTCCTCCTGTTCACTGTCCCTCTACTTTATGAAAACTGTTGTCCTTTTCTAGAGACTGGTCTCCTGATAAAATGCCCAAAGTATGCGAGATAAAGTCTCACCATTGTGCCTATAAGGAGCATTGTGCTGGTTGTACTTCTTCTAACACAGATTTCTTTATTCTTTTAGCAGTTCGTAGAACTTTTAATATTCTTCCCCAGCACCATAATTCAAATGCATCAGTTCTTCAATGGACTGCTACAACAGTTGTTGAATGATCTTCAGCAAAATTTCACTTGTATGTGATGTCAATGATATTGTTCTACAATTTGTGCATGCTACTGGGTCACCTTTCTATGGAATGGGTCCATATATGTATCTCTTCGAGTCAATTGGTCAGCTAGCTCTCTTCCAAATTTCTTGGCCGAATTGAGCGCTTCCAGTGCTTCATCAACTTGTTGAAACATTTCAATTGGTATCGTGAGCCTTGTTTTTCGCTAATGCCTTCAGTGAAACTGGACTTTTTCCTTCCGCACCATTGGTTCTTTCTCATAGGCTACCTCTTGAAATGGTTGAATGTCCGCTAGTACTTTTCAACACAGTGACTCTATGTATTTTTTCCATCCTCTTTTGATTCTTCCCTCACCGTTCAATAGTTTAGCCATAGAATCTTTCAAAATTGCAACTTGAAGCTGTGGGGTTTTCCCTGATTCATGTCCGTTTAAGATATGTAGTGTTCTTCCTTTGGTTTTCTGCCTCTAGGTCTCGGCACATTTCGGTATAAGACTTACTCTGTCTTCTTCGGCTTCCATCTCACATTTTCTGTTCCACTTTTCCCTCCATTGACTTTAGCGAGTCTATGATTAAGAGCAAGTTTGAAAGTCTCTTCTGACATCCACCTAGATCCTTTATTCTTTCCTGTCTTTTACATGAACGTTTGCTTTCTTCGTGAATGATGTTCTTGATGTCCTCGCATACCTCATTAGACCTTCTCTCATTAATATTAAATGCCTCAGATCTGTTTTTCAAATGTTCTTAAAATTCAGGTGGGATATACTCAAGGTCATATTTTGGCTCTAGTGGATTGACTTTCATTTTCTTCAGCTTCAACCTGAACTTACATAGGAACGATTGATGGTCTCCTCCACAGTTGGCCACTGGTCTGGTTTTGGCTACAGATTATTGAGCTTCCATGTTATCTCTTTCTATAGATGTGGTCAATTTGATTTCTATGTATTTCATCTGGAGAAATCCATACATAGAGTCACTTTTTGTGCTGTTGCTAACAGGTATTAAAAATGAAGAAGGTATTGGCAAAATCCTATCATTCAATTTCTAGCTTTACTTCTATCAGTAAGGCCATCTTTCTAGCTTCTGGGCATTCCTCTGTTTCAGACTTTTGCATTCCCATCACCAGTAGTCACCAACAATTACCAGCATCTTGACTGCTTGTTTGAACAAATTCAGACTGAAAACATTGGTAAAGTTCTTCAATTTCTTCATCACTACCAATAGTGGTCGGTGTACATATTTGAGTAACTGTTGTATTTACTGGATTTCTTTGTATGAATATAGATATAATTATAATCCTATCATAGAAAGCATTGTACTTCAAGATAGATCTTGAAATGCCCTCTTTAACGATGAATGCAAAGCCATTCCTCCTGATTTTGTCATTCCCAGAATAGTAAACCATATGAGTTTCTAATTCAAAATGGCCAATACCAGCTCACCAGTGTGTAGGATATCTATCTTGATGTGTTCCATTTCATTTTTGATGATTTCCAATTTGCCTAGATTTATACTTGCTACACTCCAAGTTCCAATTTTTAATAGATGTTTGCAGCTGCTTCCCTCGGGGTGAGCCATGCCCCATCAACCAATGAAGGTTCCGTGTTATTGTGGTCGACTCTACTTTGAGAAGGCAGCTCTTCCTCAATCATATTGTTTACTTCCTTCTGACCTGAGAGACTGATTTCTCTGGCACTATATCCGATAACGTTCTTACTGATGTTGTCAGTAGCTGACAGTATTTCACTTCTATTCAAATGTGTTTCAGTTGCTGGTTCCTCAGAAATGGACAGCCTCTTTGTTCATTGTAGAGTATTCTTAGTCTGGAAGCTTCACTGGAACTTGTTCACTTTGGGTGACCCTGTTGCGATTTGACATCCCAATGACATCGCTTCCAAATCACCACAGAAACAGCAAACTACCACATTGTGACAAGCGGACAGACAAGTATTAGTCTAAAACACGAGACTCATATTTTTGCTTTGTTTTTCTTTCCTCTGTATATTTCTAAATGCAAGAATAAATGTTCTTGGGGAATGTCATGAAATAAAGCTCTAGCTTCATTTTTTTTTGCTCTAGCTTCATTCTGGGGTCACAAATTATAAATAAAGCTAGTATGGAGAGAAGTAAGCCAACTAATATATGGATTATAAGCATAGATCCTATACGATGGCTTGGTGACATAGTGAGTTGCTTATTGGGCTTCTAACTGTAAGGTAAGAAGTTCAAATCCACCAGCCACTTCATGGGAGAAAGGTGATGCAGTCTGCATCTGTAAATATTTATAGTCTCAGATACCTGAGGAGGCCATTCTACTTTGTCCTATAGGGTTGGACTTGACTTGGCATCAGTGGATACCTCTCACCATTTTCACGATTTTGAGCAAATTAGCTGAGCCTTTTGTCAAGAGGACACCCAAAAATGAAAATAATAGAACTCATCTGCCAGAGTGACTATGATAGTGTGGCTATATGGTCTAAATAATAGAACTCCTCATCTGACAGAGTGACTATGATAGTGTGGCTATATGGTCTAAATAATAGAACTCCTCATCTGACAGAGTGACTGTGATAGTGTGGCTATATGGTCTACATAATAGAACTCCTCATCTGACAGAATGACTATGATAGTGTAGCTATATGGTCTAAATAATAGAACTCCTCATCTGACAGAGTCACTATGATAGTGTGGCTATATGGTCTAAATAAATGAAATTCACTCTGAAACACTTAGACAACTGAAGTGTCTGTTAAATAAAACTCAGTACTTGGAAGATTTCTATTGACCCACACATGGGCTGAATACTGAAGACAAAGTTTAAGGTCATCTCAAACCTCAAGTGTATCTTCTCTGCATGTCTGTAGAGGATGACTTTACTTGTCGATTTTTCAATTTCAGGCCCTGAAGAAGCTGAAGGGTGTTTGCGTGAGACTCTCCATGGGTCCTTGTCTCATGGAAGCGAGTACATCTGCTCTTCTTGCACACTTCCTCCTGGGTTTACCATGGCAATGGGGATTCATCCTGGGGTAATGGTTTTTCTTTGCCATATGGAAACAGGCACAAACTTTAAGTGTGAAACCATTTACTTAAGGACATCAGAAAGTGCAATGTAGAAATGTCAGGATAATCTAAATTCTCAATTTTGAAAATACAGTCTGTATTTTTATGGATGCCTTTACTGTGATCATAAGAATTTAAATGAACTGAAGACATAATGGTCTTTTACGTGTTCCTGGCTCTATGCTGCGAGGCAGTATCTCATCTTTGAGTCAGTACAGAGTGTGTATAAAACAAGCATATCAAGCACATCGCCTCGACCGGGTCGCAGACATTGACAGCGCAGTCAGTCCTGTCCACAGCAGTTTAAAAATTCTTTGAGGGACATAATATATTTTTACCCAAAAAATCAAATCACTGTGTCTGAATAATATCCTTTAAATTTTCCCATTTATTTCTGAACCACATATACATACTAAAAAAAGCCACATATGGCTGGAGAGCTAGTTTGCCGACCTGTGGCGACTGTTTTCTGCCTTGCTCGTTACCAGACTATTGGGATTTGTGCTGCCTCTTCCTCTGTAGGCAGTACTTACTTCTCATGATGAAGAACCATGGAAATAATGAAATAAGAAAGTTCTTCGTATTTAGTGCTAATAAGTAGGTAAGATATTAAAATAATAATAATTTATCATTTATCAAGGATTCACGAAGGTGGGAGAGTGGGGGAAGAAGGGGAAAAAGAGGAGCTTATACCAAGAGCTCAAGTAGAAAATGTTTTGGAAATAATGGTAACATCTGTACAAATATGCTTGAGACAATTGATGTATGGAATGTTCTAAGAGCTGAAGAGCCCCCAATAAAATGATAAGAAAAGAAGCAAAACATTGATAAGTGAAAGAACTTTAAAATGGGCCAAAAATGGGATCAAATGATAAGTTATTACATTTTAACCTAACCACATCTGCCAGGATCGACGCTACAGTGCTCGCTCGCTCTCTGACAGGAAGGCTATTCACATCCCTGGTCAGTGGTCAGAGGGGATTCACCAGAGGCTTAATCCACGGGGTTACCCTGCAAATGAATTTGGGGCTTTCTACTCGGTCCTACAGGGCCACTGTGCATCAGAATGGCCGCAGTGCCAGTTAGCTTGGCTTGGCTTGTATCGTGAATGTTCGAAGGACTGCCTGTGCAGTCTTGTTTTAGGATTGCCTGTGCAGTTTTGTTTTAGGTGCCGTGTCTCCAGCTGTCGTGGTGCCGTCGATGCTCCTTCTGCAGGAAGGAGGCTACGGTGTTGACAAAGGTGTCCCCACCTTACTCATGGCTGCTGGCAGCTTTGATGATATTCTAGCCATCACTGGCTTCAACACATGCTTGGGCATGGCATTTTCCACAGGTAAACCAGGCAGTTCACAACATACTATTCTCTTGCACAGTGGAGACATAGACTAAAATGCTATATGAGTATGCTATATTTTCTTGGCAGTTGATAAGGCAAAATAAAAATAGACCAAAACACCCTCCAAGACAAGAGTATCTATCTTTGCTCCTTTTTCGATGTATATGCTGACCCTCAGTATCTGTAAGCAGAGCAAAAAGTGGGGACACACGTTGGTGACGTTGTTAGGTGCCATTCGGGTTGGTCCCTACTCGTAATGGCCTGTGTTCAACAGAACTCCCCAGTCCTGCACCACCCTCCCAATGGTTACGTCGGAGCCCATGCTGCAGCCACCATGTCAATAAGGGGGGATACAAGCTAGCAAGTTTCAAGAAGGAAAAGAGAGCTCCTGAGATAGTCAAACTTTCTTGGACGCTAACACAATGCACAGTGCATTTTTGCTTTGTTTGTTTTTCAAGTGTAAGTGACAGAGCAGTCTAAGCAGAAGGAACCTAATCACTTTAAAAGAAGGGCGAGTTCTGTCCCCTTATCTGTCACGTCTCTTGGGTGACAACAGCAATGGCTTTAATGAGTTTCTTTGATCCTCACAAACAAGAAAGACACATCTGATACGGACATGTCACATTTTATGTAATAATAAAGGAGCGATATAAGGCATTTAAGGGGGGGGCACACAATTGTTACCCTGACTGTCCTTTACGCAGCCTTGGTGGAGCAGGAGTTAAGGATTCAACTGCTAGCATAAAAACTCGGAGGTTTGACCCGACCAGCTGTTTCCCAGGAACAAAGATGTGGCCGTCTGCTTGTATAATGATTCCGCCTTGGAAGTCATAGCGGCAGTTCTACTCGGTCACGTATAATCGCTAGGAGTCCAGATGCACTCAACAGCAACCCTTTTTACATGGGGGATTTCTTATCCTTTGGCATTTCTTAATCCTGTCTTCTAAAATTGAGAGAGAAGATTTTTCAACCTTATCTTATTTAAAATTGTAATCATAACCTTCAGTATCAAATTATTATCTTGCAACATTAAAAAACCTGCCATCAAGTCGATTTGGACTCATATTGATACTGCACAGGGTTTCCGAAGCTGTGAATCTCTATAGGAGCACATAGCCTCACGTTTCTTCTACAGAGCACCTGGTGGATGTGAGCCATCAACCTTGCAATTAGCAGTCCGACGCTTACTGAGCAGCGCCACCAGGCAGCAGGGCATATGGGAACATACCTTCCGAGAAAGTCATGCATGTTTTAGTCTGTCTAACCCTTGTAATTATTTTTCCACTTTGTAATTATATGGGATTGATAGCAATTCTCTTTGCCCCACAATCAGCCTTCCATCCACTTCCTGCCAGCGAGTTCCTGCTGTGTATTCCTGGCAAAGTAATCTTCTGGAAACCTTGTTTTGATAATGTTTCCTCTTTCTTCAAGAGCTAGTGAAGATTCTGATTAGGTCAATTCTACACTCTTGTCTTTATTTTTTAACTCTACTACACCTTTCTAAATGTATTTCCCCATTGCCTTCCCTGACACACTTTTAAAATAATAGTTCTCAGCCTTACCTGCATATTGGAAGTACTTAGGGAATTTCTTTCTTAATGGTCCTAGA